TGCATCAATGTGCATGCAACACTTTTTTGCAATTACAGATGATAACCCTCCACATTATTGCACCAATTTTATAGAGTACCCGAAAAGTGAGAGGCAAGGGGACTCACAGCAAAAACCTCCCGAAAAGTGAGAGGCAAGGGAACTCACATAAAAAAACTCCCGATATTGTGAGAGGCAAGGGAACTCACAGCAAAAAACTCCCGATATTGTGAGAGGCAAGGGAACTCACAGCAAAAAACTCCCGATATTGTGAGAGGCAAGGGGACTCACAGCAAAAACCTCCCGAAAAGTGAGAGGCAAGGGGACTCACTTTTAATAAAGCACCCCAATGGGAACAAAAAGCTACTACGTCCACGTCATTGTTCCTGGGTAATGCTAAAAGTAGTTCAAAAAAGAATTACTGATTCGTAATCAGCGAGGCCAAAAACCCTTAGATACCATGTTTCATAGAAATCCTTAAAAAAAAATGAAAATCCGTCCGCCATATTGGATCCGCCATTTTGAATTTTCGAAAACTGACTTTAGATTCGTAATCAGCGAGGCCAAAAACCCTTAGATACCATGTTTCATAGAAATACTTAATAAAATTAAAATCCGTTCGCCATATTGGATCCGCCATTTTGAATTTTCGAAAACTGACTTTAGATTCGTAATCAGCGAGGCCAAAAACCCCTACATACCATGTTTCATAGAAATACTTAATAAAATTAAAATCCGTTCGCCATATTGGATCCGCCATTTTGAATTTTCAAAAACTGACTTCAGATTCGTAATCAGCGAGGCCAAAAACCCCTACATACCATGTTTCATAGAAATACTTAATAAAATTAAAATCCGTTCGCCATATTGGATCCGCCATTTTGAATTTTCAAAAACTGACTTCAGATTCGTAATCAGCGAGGCCAAAAACCCCTACATACCATGTTTCATAGAAATACTTAATAAAATTAAAATCCGTTCGCCATATTGGATCCGCCATTTTGAATTTTCGAAAACTGACTTTAGATTCGTAATCAGCAAGGCCAAAAACCCCTAAATACCATGTTTCATAGAAATCCTTAAAAAAAATGAAAATCCGTCCGCCATATTGGATCCGCCAATTTGAATTTTCATACTGACTTCAAATTCGAAATCAGCGAGGCCAAAAAGCCCTAGATACCAAATTTCATACGAATCCTACAAACAGTTTGTAAAGTACCTCTTACCTCCCCACCAAAATTTGTAGGGGCGATTTCTACCCCAAAATTCGTTTTTGGGGAAAAACAAAAAAATACGTGTCTAATAGTTTTTGAAGAACTACTTGTATGCGCAGTTTCAGGAAAATCGGTGATTATCACTTCCCTAGTGTTACTTGTCAGATACATCCTTAAGCGAAATTCGCAGGAGTTTTTGCGTCGAGTCATCACCATTGATGAAACATGGATTCATCACTATACGCCTGAGACTAAGCAACAGTCAAAACAATGGACTTTTCCGGGCGAATCTGCTCCGAAGAAGGCAAAGACGGTCCCATCGGCCGGAAAAGTCATGGCCACGATTTTTTGGAATTCGAAGGAAATAATCCTCACGGACTTTTTTAGAGAAAGGAAGCACGATCACAGCAGTACTACAGTGAATTATTGGACCGATTTGACAAGAAATTGAAGGATGGCCCCATCTGGCAAAGAAAAAAGTGCTGTTCTATCACGACAACGCACTAGCTCACTCATCCGGAATCATCGCGGCCAAATTGCATGAATTGCGCTACGAATTGCTGCCGCACCCACCGTATTCGTCCAACCTGGCTCCCTGCGACTTCTTTCTGTTCTTTAACATGAAAACGTGGCTCGCAGGAAAAAAATTCAGCTCAAACGAGGAGATAATCATCGAGGCAAAAGCCTATTTTAAAGAGTTTTACAAATCGTATTTTTTGGAGGGGTTAAAGAAATGGCAGGGACGTTGGGAAAAGTCCTAAAAGGGGATTACGTTAAAAAATAAAAATAATTTTTGTGAAAAAATTGCGTCTTCATTCCTAACACGGGTACTTATTGATCTACCCTCGTACAGGTAAAACATTCTTAATAAAGACGTTACATTGTTACTATTCGCTATAAAATAAAAAAATGTATACATCTTCGATTGACATAATAACTGTATTTCCTTTTTAATAAATATTGTTATTTCAATAATATAAAAATGTAGAATGATAAACATAAAATAATAATACAAGTTAACAAAATAAATATTTACATAGTTTCACAAAATTATAATATATAACACATGGTTAGTATAACGCACAATTCGTATATAAGGAACAATTCTTCACAATATTCAACTCATGAAATGAAATACCCGTTTTGAAGTATTGCGGACATTTAAGGGAACATTCTACTTTCTCATCGAAAAATTTTGCTGATTTTCAGGAATTTTTTTTTATGAGAAAATAACGCAGCAATTTTGGCAATATATTATAGTATCTTTAAATTAGACAAAAAAATTGTTTTCATGTTTTAAATAAGTTTATTTATACGAGTTTTTCTCGATTGCGGAAGCGCCTCCAAACACTTCATGCTCGTTGGTGGACGTAATTGCAGTCGTTAGAATAATCTGTAAAAAAAATATATAAAAAGAATCTTAATTTGTATATGAACCGTTATTGCATGAACCACGGAGAAAAAGTTTGCGTGAAAAATTCCAAAATGGCGAACTTTCAAACATTAGATACGATAAAATGGCATCTTTTTGCGTCTTTTTATGATGAAAAAAACGGAAAAATATTGATTAATTAACATGCCCGTGATTTATGCAATAGCCACTGGTATGTAGAATAATATGTTAAAATTTCAGATCGATTGATCGAATAGTTTTTTTGGAATCGTGTCCGCCAGGTAAAAAAGTGGTTTTGAGAAAAACGCGTTTAAAATTTTTCATATCGAACTTTTGTATATAAAAGCTATTTATGCCTAATCAACTATGCCTGCTACATACAAAATGCCTTCATATTCCTCGTAGGCTTCGTTCTCAAGGGCTCTCTCTTCCCTGCGAGCTATTTTGCTTTTCTTAGAGGCGTCGGTGCTGCGATGGTTGGCTTGCGCGATGCGTTGGCCGTCCTGCTTGTGTGCAAGTTGAACGGCTGCAGGTCGAATTGTAATTTCCATCACTTCCATTATTCTCAAAAGAGTGCAAAAGCCTTCATTGAATACACATGCAGACGTATATGCAGATATTTGCAGTATTTTTCGGCCAGTGAAAATGTGTTTAGGAACTAAATGCCACACGCACGCGTTGAAGCTTTCGTTGCTGTTTTGCGTGTTGTTTCCTAAACACCATTCCAAAAGTTCGTTTGCCGTTAATTCTTCATAAATTCTTTCTAGCACTTTTTGAACGTCATCATGTAATGAAAGTGGATGTGTGAAATCACACACAGTACCCGCAGCTTCGTGTTGTCGCCATTTACACCAAGAGTCAGCGTTGGCAGGGCAGTGCGAATGTTGCGGCTCTTCGTCCGTTGAAATTTTGTGGAAAAAAGTCGCCCAAATTTCTTTTTTCATATTTTGAATAGAGTTTGTGTGACGACGTATTGCTAAGCCGTAGTATAACAATAAATCCTGTATCAATTTATTTGTTAAGTGCACTTTTTTAGGCTCTGATTTTCTTTTCGATTTTGTTTTCGTACTTGCTTGTTGCATCCTTTTGTTTTTGCTTATTTTGTTGAATTAGTAATTTTTTAACTTCTTACGTTCTTCTATACATTCTTTTTTTGACATATAACATATATTCTTTTTTTTTAACAATAAATTCTTCTCCATAAGGCTGTTTGTCTAATAAAACTTTGAAGATTTTTGTGTCTATCTCCGATGTAATACCGATATCTTGCATCATGTAAGTCTTCCGAACGTTGAAACATTTCAAACACACCATCCACCTCCATTTTCCCAGCGCTTCCCTCATGATTTACCATACAACTTTCCTTGTGTGCGTCATAAAATGCTGCATATTCGACCGTATTGTGTTACCTTTCCACATAGCACAGGCCTTGCAAAAGCTTGATTTTACAACTACATCTAGAATTTTGTTGCTGTACTTTCCGATGAGAGAAACAATGCCCAACAGAGATATAAAGCCACGCTTCGACCAAGATCCGTCTCCCGATACAGACAATTCATTTTCAATATTCCCTGCGTCTTTGTTTTTTTCTTTTCCTTCATCTGCAGCTTTATTAAGAATGACTCTAAAAACAGCGTCAACTACCACTTGTATGTAATCTATACACTTGTAGTAGGTGTTGATATTGAAGCCTGCTCCCAAAACCATAAGTTCGTAAAAATTATTTATTCCTTGCGGACCAACGCCGATTAGTCTCATAGCAAAAATGAATCGTCTCGTAGGCTTTCGCAATTTTTTGGCAGGAATCAATTAAAATGTCTTTATTACACGAGCATACGACACTCATTTTAAAACCTAATCCTCGTTCGTCACGTTTGTAAAATTTCACATCGCTATTACAATTTTTGCATATCAATATTTCTTGTAATGCGATGAAAACAAAAAAGAGTAAATTTGTAATATACAATAATTCATATTCGGATCAATATTTACACACAAATCTGCACTTTCTTTTATTTTCTCTGCTGACGTACTTGCAGACTCCAAACTGAGTTTATTTGTGTGCTGATTTCCGGCAAATTTTCTTTTTCGAGAACGACTTGGTCTTGATTCGCTGACTTTACCGTGTTTTTGATCCATTTTAAAACGATTTGTCTCTTTCGAAAACTGCTTGAAAACTGAATGCTCTACAGCAAAACAAATTTTTCTAACCTTCTCGAAGGAAAATTAGAATGTTTATAATTTGCATAAGTTTACATACATAAATTTGTTGTTGTATTGTGTATAACAACAAACATTTCTTATTCGTATTTTTTACAATAATAATACAGCAGACGGTTGAGACCAGATATAATAGAAGTGCCCCGAGAGAGGGGAGCGACACGCTTTTACTTGCGAGAGATGGGTTGGCTCTCAGGCCTATAACTTTGCAAATATTTGGAATTTCTAGTTAAAAATTTAGGGGCATATTCTCGAAAGTATATACTTTCGAATAAGATAATAAGAAAATCAATATTTTTGAACCGAGAAAGTAGAATGTCCTCTTAAATAGAGCTTACATTGTATGCAATACGATCACATGAATCAATTTTACTGCGTATAATGATTGTCTGAAAATCATGCTTGTTTTTGACAATTTTTTATGACGAACTGAATGAATATAACATATAAAGATTTATATAATATGATTTATATAACATATAACATATAAAGAGAAAAAAAAGTTTTGATAAACAAATATTCAATATAAATCGTACAAGCAGTTAAAATATATTTCGTCTTTTTTTTTAAGATCATAATTTTACAGTAATATCTTGACTCTCGGTGGTTCAATTAAGCTAAATTTTAAATAGAAAATTTCCATAAGCTTGTCATTATCGGGTGAACCACTAACAAACTCGTGAAAATATTTAATTTTGAAATATTAATTTTTTTATTATAAAAAAACTGAAAAATTTTAATAATATTCCCTCAAAATACTTGCGATTTTGTTAACTTTTACTCAATTTCTATTATAGCGATTCACCCAATAATGACAAGCTTACCAAAATTTTCAACTTAAAATTCAGCTTAATTGAATCACCGAAAGTCAAGATATTACTGCAAAATGTCGACCTTGAGAAAAGACGAAATATATTTTAACTGCATATACGATTTATATTGAATATTTGTTTATCAAAATTATATTTTTCATCTCTTTATGTGTTGTATAAATACACGTGAAAAAAAACACTTTCATATATTCATTCAATTCGCGTATTCATTTAGTCAAAAAATTATCAAAAACAAGTACGATTTTCAGGCAATCTGACCCTCTAGTCCCCATAAAAGTGATTGTTGATGCATTGCGACTTTGCTCTATACATACGGCACTATAAATAGTATATAAAATTATTCTCTTAATTTATCAAAGACCATAAACAAGTTAGACGTCAGTTGACATTCTACTTTGCAACAATTGTCTTATAACTGTTAATATTTCTCTATTTTCATTGCATCTAAGCTACTTGTGGAGATATGAGACGGTCAATTTCAGAAAAGACAACTGCAAATTATTTGAAAAATTAATGCCTATAACCCTACATGCTGTGCACAGTTTACAATAATTTCATTATTATCAATATTATTATCAATTTTATTATTAACAATATTTTATTATTATCAATATTATGAAAAATCAGTGCTATATATAGTAGATTTAATCAGTGAATATTCACTGTTCTTCAGTGAAGTTCATTTTTAGATTTGGAGAGTATAAATGGTGACGTTGTGCACACATGCTATTGTCGTTTCATATACAAATTTATGTGTTCACATTTTTATTTCGTATAATACGTTGCATATCATTTCGTCGCGGTTAATTAGCTTTCATCTAGTAATATGAAAATAGGTAGAAACAGTTATGAAGAGAAATTACACAACATACTCACCTACAATATCAATCTACTTGGACAGCGTAGCACCTATAACACCATGTTATCACATCGTTTCTCAACGATTTAAGAGAGACCAACTATTACTATTATATATGGATGGATTTGATATTAAATGCTTTACAATTTTTGTCCTTACGTAAACTTAAAAATTTTGTGAAGGTAACGAGTGGAGGAAAGAGAGAGAGGTAAAAAATTTTGGTAAATGTTCACTTTAGGGGAGTCACTTCTGATGACCTCGATCTTGACATATATTATAGAGATCATCTTCTTGAGTAACCTTCAGAAGATTTTAGTCGTCGTTTGTCACTCGTTGTTTGTTAAAAAGTTATTAACAAAAGAAGTTTTAGAAGTTGAACGTAATTTTTGCACACTATGTACATGGAAATATGGTAAACAGTATACGTATATACGCGGGGAAGGGGCTCCGTCCCTCCCCCCGTAATCCCTCCCCATAAAACCTAAACCTAACCTAACCCATCTGCTGAAACATGGTACAAAGTATGCATATACTGTTTGCGCATATGTGTACTGTTTACCATATTTCAATAGATGTGTTAGGTTAGGGTTATGTTATTACTTAACCATAACCTAACCTATCTATTGAAATATGGTAAACAGTATACGTATATGCGTAAACAGTATATGCATACTGTTTATCATGTTTCAATACATGGGTTAGGGTTAGGTTAGGTTAGGTTGGGTTAGGTTTGGGTTGGGTTTTTTGGAGAGAGGGTACAGGGGAGAGCGGGGCCCTTTCCCCGCGCATATACATATACTGTTTATCATATCTCAATGTATATTGTGTACCAAAATTACGTTCCGTTTGTAAAATTTTTTTGCTAATAACTTTTTAATAAACAATGAGCGACGGCTAAAACCTTTTGTGTGTTACTCAGGACGATGACCTTAACAACATATGTCAAAATTAGTCATCGGAGGTAATTCTCCTAAAATGAACATTTACCAAACACACTTCGAAAGAATTTTTTCTGTCATTATAATTGCTTCCTCGAATAGTGCAACCTTTTCCTTAGACATTTTTTAGTATTGTTAAAAATAAGTGAGAAATTTAAGATACTCGACTTGAGTGGAGCACTCTATATACACGGTGGACCATTTTAATCCATCCAGTCGAATATGTCGAAAACCAAGCAAGGAAGAGAAAAATGTTTCAGACAAAAGTTGTAAGGCTTAAAAAAACGCATTCAACAATAGTAGTTATTTGACATAAGATGGCGTCGCCAAGGCCAGAACAAGGTCAACTTTGCTTTTTTAAATAGAAATACATATTTTTTATTACGGCATTTTATTCAACGTAAAAACGCAAATAACTTTTGCTTGAAAAAATTTTTTATACGACCTCTATTTT